CGGGAGCTGTCCGCATCGTGGTGCTGAAATAAGCCAAGAGACGGCAGCAAGGCGGGGTCCAGGACCCGGGCAACTTCTCTGATTTAGAGGGGGGCTCTGAATCATCCTAAGGAGAGGGGCAGGGATCTTGGACCTGAGATGCTCTGAAGAACTTACGCTCATATCCAAATGGCCAGTGGCCTCAGCATCTCCTTGGACCTCTTCTGGTACCGAAGGGCAGTTTCCCAGGCAGGGGAGGGCAGAAGTTGTTAGGGGCTTCGGGTAGACTTTTGTGGAAGGCTACCTCCAGGGTTTGACTGTTGGGCCTGACTGTGGCAACAGGACACTTAGGATTCTTGCCCACAAATGCCGTCCAGTAGGTTACCAGTGTCCATGCGCATCTGGTGGAAAATCCAGCCGGAGCCTGTTCTAGGAAGTTCTAGGAAGATGAGGTAGTATACACACGAAGGTACACAAAAAGTTTTCTATTTGGCATCTTTTTCAGAGGCCTCAAAGCTCTTCGAGCACAGGCAGATCTTCAAAGAGGAACGGATCTAAAACCTCTTATTAGCAAGTGACCACTGGTAAAAAGTGTCTGAGTACTGATTTAAAATGAACACACTAAGAGGCAGGCAGATCTCTGTGAGTCGAGGCCAGCCTGGTCTACAGAGCGAGTGCCAGGACAGGCTCCAAAGCCACACAGAGAAACCCTGTCTTGAAAAACAAAACAAAATGAATACACCAGAAGAAGCAAATTGGGACGAGATGAAGTTTATTGAAAAAGGTTTTCTGAAGAGGAGACAAGGACCACTGTCCATTAAGCACCTTAATGGATTTGGAACTTTGAAGAAGGTCCCAAGTCCAATTTTGATCCACATCTTAGTAGCTAGCATTCAAAGTGGAGCAGGCACCTTAAGCAAAGGCCCAACGGTAGCATCAGTGCAAAGGGGTTCAACTGGGTGGTGGGGAAGGTGAAAATACAGAAAAAAACAATAATTGATAAATAGCTTCCAATGCTAATTTGAACATCTAGATTTAATTGATGGACAGCTGAGTTCTTAAGCAGTTTGATGTTCAGAAGGAAATTCGAAGACATTTGAAGAAAATATTCTGGCAGAAATAAACTCTACAAAGTGGATGGGGGAGGGGAGATGGCCAAGGAGGCTCAGTGAGGCTTCTGCTGTAGTCCAGGTGAGAGGCTTGGAGTCCTGGGCTGGATGTGCCTGTGCCACGCAGAGTCACAATACCTGGTGGGGGTCCTCGGCCACAGTGGCTGAGAGATGAGAGGGCTGCCAAGTGAGGCCTCCTGGGGGGCAGAGGTGTCTTGGCTGTCCCTGAATGTGGGGAGCAGGCTGGCTGTGGAAGAGAGGTGGGGACACAGTCTCTCATATGGTCAGTATTTGGTTTGCTGAGCTCTGAGGATGGACTTGGGAAGTGAGCTATTCATTCAAACATTTCCCCAGTCCCCACTGTGTACGAGGGCCTGTGCTGACCAGAGACATTACACAGAATAGTCCTGATTCATATTAAGCCTTGTGGACCTAACAGCTAATAATGTGGACAAATAAAGGCATTATAGTAATAAGTAAATAACAGAATATATGATAGAGCCATCAAACGGGATGGTGTTGAATCTGAGGCTGGAGAAGTAAGAGTTTTGGATCAGGAGGAACATGGAGGCATCTGGAGAGCTGGGCAGAGATCAGGGATTCCACTCATTACTAATTCTCATCAACCTGTGACTTTTGAGTTCAGATGTATAATATAAGGAAAGTTGACCTCATGCTTGGGCTACCTGGCGTCTCTTCTGTATGGCTTCTGATTATAATAATTTCCCCTCAAACCTCCCATTTTCTCTATTACATACTGACTCCCAGACTTCCCAGGAGTCCCTGGAACTTCAGCCCTAACTTACCTGAAAATATCCAGTGAGGTGTCACTGTGATCAGGAGGCAGGGGAGAACAGGTTGAAAAGGGTAGGAGCAGGGGCCCTTTCCCAGTTTCCCAAGATTATCCTTAGAACATCAGATCTCAAATACCCTCCTCATGGCTGTCTTCTCTCTGTTCTCCCTTCCCCCACTGAGCCCGGAAAGGTGCTGTTTGCCCTGTGCTCGCTCTCCAGGGCAACGGGCCAGGCAGTGTGTGTGTGTGTGTGTGTGTGTGTGTGTGTGTGTGTGTGTGTGTGTTGAACAAGGCTATCTCCGGAGCAGAGTTACTGGAGATGAGCTTTGTTTAAATATTAAAGAAGTCAATCATTAATCATGCCTGGCTCAATGCCCAGCTACCCACTGTCTCCATTCGTGAGGGCTGGGCTGGGGTAGGGAGAGCAATGGGGCAGTTTGTGAGGCTGCTTGCATTTCAGGTGGTCAAACAAAGAGCCTTTTTGGGGCCTGGATCATGCAGTCTGGAAGGGCATGATAGAGGATGAGTGGAGTGCTGTGTGCTATATACAGAACTCAGGACTCAGAAACGGGCATCAGCAATTCGTAAAGGAATGCCTACTTCTACTGAAGGACAGTTAATGAGCAACCTGACGCAGGTTCTCTTTCTAGAGATTCCTAGGCTCCTGCAACCCTAGCCAAGCCCCAGAGCTAAGCTCCTGAAAAAGAAAAACAAACCAAAAAAACCCAAAACAACAACAAAAAAGGATGTGTGGAGAATTGGTTCTCAGTATGACTTGGTGTAGGGGCTGCTTCAAAGGGACCCAGTCACTGACTCACTAAGTCAGTGAGCCACTGTGGGAAAGTATGGTTGGCCAGAACACGCATGGATCACACAAGGTCAGTCACCTGTGCCTGCCTCCCAGCTTTGCAAACACAGTCACACCGGTTCACAGATCCGCCCCAGCTGCACCCAATGACAGCTGAGCACTATGCATGCAGACCATATCCTCCCTGACCTGTCTCAGCCATCCTCCTACCCTATCCCCCCAGTCTCACCAGTCTCTATGTTGGCTGCTCCCAGCTCTGTGACTCAGGTCTCATCCATGGAGGCTTCCTGTTTTGATGTGTGAGCATCCGAATGAGTAGACCAAGAGAGCACAGGGTCAGGAAGAAGCAGAGGCCCAGCAGGATCCACTGTTTCCGGGCTGCTTGACGGGGTTCCATGGCTATGCCCAGGAAGTAGGTGTAAGGCAGGGTGCTGAGTATCATAGTGTCCTTGTCCAGTGACTGTTTTTCCAAGTAGTGCAGCCTACAGCCCAGCACCAGGATGAGGAGGAACATGACAAAACTCATGCTCAACAGTACCCACTGGCCCAGGTATGCTTGCTCTGGCTCCAGTTCCATACCCAGGAATAACACTTTGTTTCCGGTTTTTTCTGTGGAAAAAATTAGAAGAGTCTAAAGATCAAGACGGTCTGTGGAAAGGGCCCTAGGATCCCCTGTGGCTGCCAGAAGGGACCTGATGGCCACTGTCTTCTCTCTCAGCCTCAGGCCACAGGTGAGGGAATTGGCTTTCAGTGAGGGAATCATAGGAAGAAGAGAAGGTGGGGTGACATAATCCACAGAGTCCAGTTTGGGGGCTCCTGCCCACTGACCAGAGGCCAGCTTGGCAGTCTTGCTGGGTGATGTGCAAGGTAGCCACTGAACAAGAACGATGTATGGACTGTGGGACTGGCTGAGGGTGTCCCCAGCCTGATACAGATAGGGGTCACTGAACTCTAGTTCTGTGTTGGCTAATGCCAGATCATTATCTGACTAGAGTTTCGGACTGACCCAGAGCAGGAGAGGGCAGGGCCTCAAGCTGCATCAGAACCAGGCCCAGAGTTAGTTTTGTCCAACCTTCAAAAGAACAGCTGAAGTCTGGCCAGCCAAGGATGTCCCCTTGCTTCACGTTCTCATTCACCAGCCAGTTCAGCAGCGGCTTGAAGTAGTTCAAGAAGGCCTTGGCGGATACATTGGACTCTCCAGTCATCTCCATTAGGATTTCCTGCCAGGGCCGGCTGGAGCCCTGCTTCAGGATATCCCTGGGGGAATGGAGTCATCTGTGAGGCCACATGGGAGTGTCAGCAGGTGCCACTGGGACCCCCTCAGTGTACACAATTCTAAGTCCTGAACTTTGCCAGCCAGGACCCCAGAGCTCAGCACAGTAGATGTGTCACCGGTTCTGAAGCAAGGTACACCTGCGTGTGACTCTCAGCTCTGTCCCTGTGATGCCTTGGACAGATAACTGATTGGAGGCTCCATTCTCATCTCCATAAACAGAGGCAAAGGACAGGGCTGCTAGCATTCTGGGAAGCACCAAACACCAACGGTTGCTGCTGACTGGCATTAGTGTTACTGTGGGCATCGTTATTCTACTCAAACAGGCAGCCAGCCTGAGCCTCTGTTTACCCTGATGTATTTGAGGTAGCAGTCTTTCTTCCTTCCTTCCTTCCTTTCTTCCTTCCTTCCTTCCTTCCTTCCTTCCTTCCTTCCTTTCTTTCTAAAAGGCTGAATATTTTATTTTGGGGGTTCTGCAAAGTAAATAAATAAATATATAACTTTAATCCAAGCACTGGGGAGGCAGAGGCAGGCTGACCTCCAGGAGTTCATTGCTAGCCTGGTCTACAGTTCCAGGAAAGCCAGGGCTACACAATGAGACTGTCTCAAAGAATAAGCCTATTTACAGCAGACATCATTAAACAATGCCATCAGTCAAACAGATTCTTCCAATTTTCACTTTAAAGATTCTAAGTAATTAGTTACATAAATGCCTTGACATTTACAAAATGGTAAGTACTGGACATTTTCATCTAAGGAGTTGTTCATATTTATGTATGTGTTGCTACATGTATGCACATTGCTTGTATGCCTGGTACTGGAGGCCAGAGGGCCCAGAGAGGTCCAAAGAGGGTGCTGGATACATTGAAACCAGTTACAAATCAAAATAACATCTGGTATCGGAATGCTTCAAAACGGTCATAATGGCTGGGTGGTGGTGGCGCACGCCTTTAATCCCAGCACTCGGGAGGCAGAGAGGCAGGTGGATCTCTGGGAGTTCAAGGCCAGCCTGGTCTACACAGAGAAACCCTGTTTCCAGGGGAAAAAAGGCAAACAAAAACATTTCTTTTGAAGGAAGCAGACATTACAACTAGAAAATGGGTAGAATATGTTGCCTGCAACTTTCATCTATTTACATTTACTACCTGAAGAAAATGTTTCAAAAAGTCATTTTAAATACAGTGCTTATAAAGTATTTTTTGACTTTATGTGCATGAATGTTTGCCTGAATGTATGTGGACCACATCCCCAAAACTGGAGTTATGGATAGTTGTGAGCCACCATGAGGGTACTGGTAACAGAACCGGATCCTCTGCAAGAGAAGCCAGCACCGTTCCTCTGGTACTTCTAGATGAAAAGGTGCTTTGTTTGGCTATGTTCATCTATTAAATCGATTATGTTTTACCTAGCAATTCATTTTCTCCTTACAGATGTTCAATGTATTGAGGTTCTATCCATAACGCGCCCAAAATAAAATTTAAAACCTTTCAACTTGAGTTTTATCCCCACACGATAGCAAGACCTTCACAAGGTTTTCCTTTCCCCTCCAGGAGCACCCACTCACACAAGAATAAGTATATGTAATAAAAAAGTTAAACTCTGTTACATAGCTGGTGTGTGTGTATGTGGGGGGGCAAGCTCCAAATTTCTTGTGTAAAGAAATTTCCCAGAACTCCATGCCTTCTTCCAGGGCCTGTTGCCAGCCACCAACTAGATGGAGGGTATGTTCCCTCCGTTTCGATTTCTCGCCATACAATATCCAAGCAGGCTGTTACAGCTGTTCAATTAGTGCAACCCAACTCTCAGGCCTCATGAGGTTTTCTACAGAAGGGAAGGCCTGGAGAAACAGCCAAAAATTCCTAAAGGGTTAAAATCACCAAGGTCCCTTTATCATAAAGCTAAGATCTTTTAAGAAAAACCTGTGATTACCTCCACACCAAACAAATCTAAGGCCTTCAGGCCAGTGAGGTGGCCACTCCATACCTATTCCTATTTCATACTGGCACGGAAGGAACACAGAGGAACACAGAGAAAGTCCCCAAGTATCTTGCAACCAGACACGTGCACATCTACCTGCTCCACAGTTACTCGCTGCCGAGGAAGTGACTGAATTCGACTTGAGTTAGAGGAATATGGGTAGGTGGGGTTGTGGTGACAGCATGGCCCCCTCTAGTTGCCTAGCAGTGCCTGCGGCTGCGGGCGC